AAAATATAAAAGAGAAATATACTTGTAATGTATCACCCTAATATAACATTTACCTTTTGGTTTTAAACAATTTTTATGTCTGTTGTAATTTTTAAAACATACCAATGATATGAACATCTTTCTGTGTGTATAAATATCTTGCAACTGTATTATTCCTAATGGCTTCATAATATTGCTTCATTTGGATTTATCATAATTTACTGAATCTATACTATTTTTGAATGTTTACTTCCTCTATAAATATAACAATGCTGAGTTGCTTTGTGCACATGTCTTTCTTCATAATTTATTATTATTTCTTAGGATAAATTCCTAGAAGTGAAATTGCAAGCTGTGTGTATTTTTTAAACTTTTGGCATACGTTGCAAAATTGATTTTCCGAAGCTCTTATCAATGCATTTTTCTATCAGCATTGTACTTGAGTGCCTGTCTCTCATCTACCTTTACAAATTCTGAGAAGGATCTTCTTATCTTTGTCAATCTGATTAGCAAAATTTTCAGATCATTGATTGCTGGTGAGGGTGAAGTTTTTAAAGTTTATAAATATGTATATCTGAAGTGCCTGTTGATATCTCTGGTAGACTGTTGATGTATCCTGGAAGTCTGGCTTCCATTCTGCATTTCTGTGGTAACAGCATACAGATATTTTTGGTGGGGTATGGGAATGACTGCTCGGTGCAGTTTTGAAGGATATAATATTCAACGACCATGCCTACCCCAGCCAAATTGTGAGCACATTAACAAATGTACCATCTGGCTCTCCCAAGAGTTTTGACTTTTGAATGATGCAAAGTCAGAAAATAAGTCCAGTTGCTAGGACTATTACCTACTCATACCTCAGTGCCTCCCTCAGGAGAGAACTACCTTGCCTGGGAACAGTCCAAAGTTCAAGGCAGGACTAGCTAAAGGGACAGTTTTAAGGCCACTGCTTCTATTTGGGACCCGAATGAGCAGCCTGTAGGATAATCTGACGCTTCAGCTGCATCCTCACTGTGGGTCTGCTTCTCCCTCTGCCCAGTCCTGTGTTACCCATTTCATTAAGGGAGTATTTCCTGAGAGCACTTCCCAGCCAACCTTCTCTATGCCATCTTCCACTTCTGCCTGCTTCCAGAGACCTGCCCATTCAATCCAGTGGCGACATTCAGCGAAAACTGCATAGTAGTTCATGCTGCCAAAACCCTCTGAAACTACTTCTGTTGTTCTTTCTGAATCTGGTCCTTCCTTATAGACTTACCATATTTCCTAGTAATTGACTCTAAGTTAACCATAGTTGATTCCAGTGATTTGCAACCAAGAATCGGTGTTTATACAACGTTCTTTGCCGTTTTACTGATGTCTTTTACTGATTGATTTTAAGAGCTTTTTATGTATCACATGCATAAACCTTACACTAAATTGGTTCTCTTTCATTTGTCAGTTGCATTATAGTTTTGTTCATATAGTGTTGACACCTAATTATTTAAAAAATGTATTGCCGTCAAGTATCTCAACTGTTTTCTTTGTGCTTTTTGCCTTTTATGTAATGTTTACACAGGTGTTTGCCATCATGTACATAAAATTAATACATATATGTGTTTCAATTTATGGTTTTATTTTTAATCCCCTAACTCTTAAACATTTATTTGTGCTTTAGTATGAAGCAATGATTTAACAATTTTCTACAAATAATTTAACTTAAATACTTAGTCTCTTATGTTAGAATCAACTTTAATAGTATCCTCAAATTTCAGTGTTTAAATAAGATGGATATATATCTTTTACTCAGCAATCCAGAAATGATATGTCTCAAGCTTGCCAGACAGCTCTGCCATTCTTACCCGGAAGGAGGCTCTCACCTCTGGGTCAGAGTCATTTGCTTCACTTGTTGCTACTTTCCAGTCAGTGGAAGCTAGAGAGTGGATAACAGGCAACTTCTTAGCATCACACAGGCATAGGCGCGCGCGCGCGCACACACACACACACACACACACACACACACACACACACACACGCTTGCATTCTATTGACCAAGATCTAGGCACTTCACTATGCAGGTTGGGAAATATCTTTTACTCAGCATTTGTGTGACCAGCCAAAACCCGTGGTGTTCTGGTGTTTTCTATGATGAGTCCTGCCAGTGGGGAGAAACATGCATTTTAAAGGGTTATAAAACATCTTAAAACTAGTATTAAAATGGTAGTTATATTGAACATGGAACTAGAAATGTACCTAGAAACATCGTCAAAATTAACACAGAGCTAACATTTTGAAGCGGTTTTCTCCTTATGAAATGGTATGTGTGTGCACACATGCGCATGCCATAGCATTTCAAATCTTTTTTTCCTCCTCTTCCACCATTTCTACCACCACGTACTTGAATGTGATGTGAGTTGAAAAGATAAGTGTTTTTTAACCAGATGAGTTTCATAAGTCTCTAGACATACTTCATGTAGTTCTGTTCAGCTCTCAGATTCTTTCTATGGAGTTTAGCTGAATATGAGCAATAGTGAAAGGAAGGATATATTATTATATATTTTTATAAAGTTTATTTATTTATTTGGAGAGAGCAGAGGAGAGGCGGAGAGAACGGTGAGAGAGAGAATCCCAAGCAGGCTCCACACTGAGCATGGAGCCAGACTCAAACCCATGAATTGTGAGATCATGACCTGAGCAGAAATCCAAAGTCAGACACACTCAGCTGACTGAGCCACCCAGATACCCCGGAAAGACACATTATTATGATTGTTTAAGTGGATTTGCAATTTATGAAGTAAATTCATCAGGAAATACAGTATCTTGAAAAGGAATGACCTATATCTGATTTAGAAATGAATATTAAAGATCTAGTAATGAAGAAGGAATCAAATTCTATCTTCTCATCTAAATATGGAGTCTATTCTTAGTATTGGTACTGATTTTTATTGTGATGGTTTGAACACCGTTTTATATTCAGTCTCTCTGTACTTTGTTTTAGGGTTATAAATGCCTGAACCTTAGATTCATTCTACAAGCATTTGACTCCTTGGCACCTAGCATAAAATATCCTTTGGAATCATTATTGGTCTGTGTGAACCATGGTTTTGATACAGAATGGTTTTGAATGCTTTATTTTTGCAGTTTTTATTATGAAATATAACACATATATGGGGAAGTGTTTAAGACTTATATATATATATATATATATTGATAAAAATTACAAAGCAAATATCTGTGTAAGTCACCATCTAAGTCATGAAACTTAACATTGCCCATTTTTTAGAAGTCCCCAAGTATGCCCATTCCAGCTCACAAGCCTTTTGTCCTACTCCCAGATAGTCTGGGAGTCATTTCTTCGTTTTTGTTTTTGTTTTTTTTATATACATATACAGCTCTAAATAGAATATAAATGGCTTCATACTGCAGGGGGGTTTTTGTGTCTTGCTTCATTTCAGCATATGTTTGTGCAGGTGATTCATGTATGTGTTGTAGTGCATTTATTTTCACAGCATTATAGTATTACTTGGATGGATATACCACAATTGATAGAGCCATTCTCCTGTTAATGATTGTTTTGGTGGTTTCCAGGTTAGTTTTTGTTTTTGCTGTTGTGAACTTTGCTGCTGTGAACATTTTACTATACAGGTCATGGTAAATAATTGTCTTAGTTTTTGTAGGGTCTGTATTTAGGAGGATATTGCTGGTTCACAGGATATGTTCTCTACCTTTGATTGCTCACCATGGATGACAAACTGTTGTCAAGTGAAGTGGTTGTACCAAGAGTGGTATTATTTTTAAGGTTTTTATTCTCTCTTCAGATATTTGCTGAAAGTTTTTTGAGTGAGGAAAAAAACTTTACGGTATTGTATTTTATTATAAAAGTTAAAATACCATCTAGAAAAGATGGAAGCCTGTTTTTTCCCCAATTATTTGTTTAAAAAGGTACCTCATTGTGAATGATACTTATTAATATATAATTAAAAATATATGTCATATATAGTATTTTATATTAATATATTATTAATAATGTAATGATACTGCATTGATTGGGTATATGATAATTTATTTAACCAGGCAGACTAATTGATGGATATTTAGGGCATGTCCAAGTTTTTATTATTACCAGTGATGGATCTGTAAATTCATTGAAATATATACTTCATAATATTTCAGAGTTTATTCATTGAATACATTTCTAATTGTAGAATTGTGGTTCAGAGTATATAAGCATTTTAAGTTTTGCTAGATACTGCAAAATTGCCCTCCAAAAAGCTGTATCAATTTACTTTTTAATCAATGATTATTGTCAGCATTGTATATTATTAGAATATTGAGAGAGCAAAATAGGGCAAGTTGGGGAGGGACAGAGAGAGATGGATACACAGAATCTGAAGTGGGCTCCAGGCTCTGAACTGTCAGCACAGAGCACATTGCGGGGTTTGATTCCACAAATTGTGGGATTATGACCTGAGCCGAAGTCATATGCTTAACTGACTCAGCCACCCAGGCGCCCCAGGATACTTTATGTTTGCTGTTCAGATAGTTGAAAATATAATTTGTTTTGGTTTGCAATTATTTAATTATGAGTGAAGTTGAATATGATTCCGTTTGTCTTTCTGTCAACTGCATGTTAATATCCTTTGCCTATTTTTCTTTTGGGTAGTTGCATATTTTCCCTTAGTGATTTGTGAAACTTTTTACCAATTAAAGATATTAACATTTTTGTCTATTATGTGTTGCAAATACTTTTACTATTTTTGTGATTAATTTTTACACTGTTTCTAATTTTTTGTACATAAGTTTTAATCTTCTTTATATTTTCAGGTTGTACATAACTTGCAAATTGCCTACAAGCCTATTTCATATGTTGTCATTTGCTTGTGAATATATATAAAAATAACTCACCCTTTTTTCTTTTTTTTTTTCAAAGACATGTATATGTGAACTTCTAATTAGGAACTACCATTGATCATGAATATGATGAATCTAATTTAAGCAAAAATCTGTTTAACATTTAAATGACTACTATTTCCTTCTTCCTTCAGTGGTCCTAAAAGTCGATGGATAAGAAAGTGCAATTAATAAAAGACAGCATATTACCAGACACGAAGTATGTACCCTAAGAAGTTAGAAAATACCTTCTCTCCAACCTTCCTTCAATTTACATGTCCTCACTTCATCTGAAACACTGTATCAAATGCTGTCAGGAATTTAAGCATCTCTAATAACAATTTATTCATGATTAAACTTCGGCTTATAAAAAATGAAATTGACTTACATTGAGTTTATGTTTGCCTTAGAAAACCTATAATAGATATTTTAATAGAATATTTGAAAGATACTAGATAAAGACTCTCATTACACTTAAGGACATCCAAATGAGTTATTTGCCCATATGGAAATTATCCTGTGAACCTAGCTCAGACTTAGTTCCAAGCTAAAATGACTTGTAGTTCAATCCAAATTAAAGTAAGAGACTGAGGCCCCTCGGTGACTCAGTCGGTTAAGCATCCGACTTTGGCTCAGGTCATCTCACGGTTTTTGAGTTCAAGCCCCACATTGGGCTCTCTGCTGATACCTCGGAGCCTGGAGCCTACTTTAGATTCTGTGTATCCCTCTCCCCTGCTCTCTCTCTCTGTCTCATAAATAAGCAGTAAAAAAATTTTTAAATAAGAGACTGAACAAGTCTAAATAGGAACACTTATAAGTAGTGAGTAGCAACACATTGTGCAAAACTTTTTTAGTTTACATTCTTGTTTCATATATATTTTTAAGCTTCCTATAAATTACTGTGTAAAATAAGCTAATATAACATCAAATCTTACCTTTGGTTTTTGTTTAGTAGGCTGGGAACTTAAAGCCACTAGATAGTTCCTTCTAGTTGGAAACACAAGAATCTATGTTGTCTCAAACTAATCTTGCTTTCTCCACAGTTCTTAAGCCCAGGCCTATATAATAGAAACATCAGGCTAGTTTAGATTACACCTCATACTTTGAGTTTTGGGGGTTAAAAAAATTTCACATTGGACTCAGGGAATTGTAACTATCCCGGATACGACATTATAGATGACTCAGATTTTCTAAAAGCTTACTAGTTTCACAAAGCTTGTTGTTTTCAATAAAAACAGCATGTTAAATATTTAACTGAATGTTATTTGGTTTATAGCCTCGTAAAACTTTATCTTACTATTTTTTTAACTGCATCTTAATTTTTACTTAACTATGTGAGAATTTTTTTTATTTGGCTCCACTTAAAGAAGTTAAATAAAACTATAATACAGGTTAGATCATACATTAAAAATGTCCCTAACATGTTTACATTTCTTGTCTAAAATGTTTATTTCTTGGGGCACCTGGATAGCTCAGTCAGTTAAGCCTCCAACTTTGGCTCAGCTCATGATCTCTCGGTTTGTGACTTTGTGCCCTGCATCAGGCTCTGTGCTGACAGCCTGGAGACTGGAGCCTGCTTCGGATTCTGTGTCTGCCTCTCTCTCTGCCCCTCCCCTGCTCATATTCTCTCTCTCCCGGTCTCTCAAAAATGAATAAACATTTAAAAAAATTTAATGTATATTTCTCATTAAATTTTCAGATAACTTAAAAAAAACATTTTGGACTGTAGTACTAAAAGCTGAACACTAAATTGTGCCTCCACTAAAGAAAATATAGGAGTCAATTAAGAAATTAGTTAAAGGGAAAATATAGAGTAATTTATCAGTGTCCTGGACCCTATCAGAAATAAACCTTTTTGACTCTCTGAAATTTCAAGGTAGCTAAAAATAGGGTTTTGTTTTTTTAATGTTAGGGTTTTCAACTGCTTTTAGAAATCTCTACGTAGATTATTTCCTCTGGTTTTTAAGAGAATACTGAAAATACTTTAACACTTTTTTGATTAAGGTCAATTTTTGGAATGATAAAGGTATCATAACATGCTGAAGGTGGTAGCTATAGATAACAAGTTTAGATTTATTGGAAGACCATTCTCCATAGATCTCTTGTGTTTCTAGATATCTTGCAAGCAGAGACATTAACTGCCTTTGTTCCAGACTCTTTTTTTCTTGAACGCTTGTATAGCAACCAGCCTTTGAAGATTCAGATAATGTCTCCTTGGGAGTAAAGAGCAAGCATGCTCAACCTCCCATTATAGAAGGTTCAGGTTCCTTAAGCTCAAGTTCCCTGAATTCCTCTCTTGTAACATAGCCACTGTGTGTGCAGGTTTTACCTGGCTCTCTTCATGTTGCCCTGTGGGAATTGAGGCTTAGGGAACTGATGCAAATGCTGATTATCTCGTGACTGCTATTACTGTGAAAAATAAAGTCTTTTGTTTCTGACCCTAGAGTCTCATGTCCTCTGCCACCATCCATGAAACTATACCAGGCTAAATTGTTAGCTTGCAAATAGTATTCTCAGAACCTTCACTGTTTTTGACAAGATGATATAAAAGAGGGATCAGCAAACTTTTTGTGTAAAGAGTTAGATAATGTATGATATGTTACCTGTGCTTCTTTGATTTTGTGTGTGTGTGTGCGCATGGCCCTTTACAAATACAAAAACCATTCATAGCTTGCAGGCCATACCAAAACACTCTTTGGACTTGATCTCACCAACGGTCCATATGCTGCTGATGTAGAGCCCTGATAGGCCTCTGGTATAGAACACAGGATTAAATCGCTCTTCTGCTTTCCTACCAAATCCCCCAGAAACTTTCTCAAAATGATTACGGGTTGCTCTTCACACGCTTTTTTAATAGTTGATAATAAAATGAAGCTTGTGCTGCTGCATATCTGCTGGGAAATAAAATATGCAAAATTAATTAGGTAGTAAAAAGAAAAAGTATTTTCCTAAGTGGTTTTTCGGGAACATTTTCATCTTCAGTCTCACTCTTGGAAATCAGTAAGAAATCTTGGTTTGTAAGCCAAACAGCTTTGATTTATTTGATTCTGACAGTAGGTGACCAGCAACTTGTCCTGCTCACAGTAAAAATTTACATTGAATTTTTGGGAGGGCTTACTCTAAAAATCGGTAATTTATTCATCTAAATGCAGTCATACTTTTACTCACAAGGTTCTTTGTAAGTTTTATGTGAACAGAATTTCTCAAAGAATATGAAACATTGCATCTAAATTGATCATTTAGTATTGATATGTTGGACAGTTTTAATCAACTTTCCTTCTAGAATAACTTAAAAAGTTATTGAAGGAAAAAAAAGGCACGTGGACATCTCAAAGTTAACAAAATAATAATGAATTATCAAGCAAGGATCTCAGGGAGGGATGAGACTAGGGAAATGGTCAGTCAATGGGGTTGCTTTTCTGCTAGGGATGGAAATGAAGTGGCTGGCCCATGGTTTTACAGCCTAGAGGAAGCACTTAAAGGCATAGAGATTGGAATCTAAGGCCCCCATCAAACAGAGATGGTGGTAAACTACTTGTTAATTATCAAGTTGATAACCAAGAATTATAGTTTTAAAGAAAAGGAGAACCAGAAAGGAGACCAGCATTTTCAGGGACTACCACCAGCTTGAAATCCTCTGTCTGTGATTGGAGGCGATCCTGGATTGCCAGTATTCCCAGGAACTTGGAGTAACTCACTGTAAATGTCTTGAGGAAGATAACAGCATCCTAGGCCTCAATTGTTTCTACAGACAATTTTGTATGATGAAGCAAGACAACAGAGATAAAAAAATAAATGTATTATAAAAAAGCAGTAAAAATAGAAGTTACACAGGGACTTTTACATATTGATGTTACCAGACACATGCTCTTATTTATCCAATTATGCTTACTACTTTTCATGAGGGTAAAAGATTAAATATTTTTTTTAAATATTTTTATTTATTTTTAGGGGGGAGAGAGAGCGTGAGCAGGGGAGGGTCAGAGAGAGAGGGAGTCACAGACTGAAATAGGCTCCAGGCTCTGAGCTTGCAGTCAGCACAGGGCCCGAACCCACGAACCGTGAGATCATGACCTAAGTGAGTCGGACGCTTAACTGACTAAGCCACCCAGGCGCCCCGCATTTTAACTGTTTTTAAGTCTGCAATGCAGTAGTGTTAATGACATTCAGAATGGGGTGCAACCATTACTACTTTCCATTTGCAGATCTTTTCATCATCTCAAACTAAAGCTATGTACCGATTAAAAAAGTAATTCTTTTCTTCTCCCTGCAACCCTCGTAATGTCTGTTGTACTTTCTGTCTTTATAAATTTGCCCATTACAGATATTCCATATAAATGGAATTGTACCATATTTGTCCTTCTCTGACTGGCTTATTTTTACTTAGCACATTTTCAGGGTCTGTCAGGCTGTAGCCTATATTAGAACATCATTAATTTTCATGAGTGTATAATATCTCATTGTATGTATATATCACATTTGGTGTTATGAATGATTCTACTCGAAACAGTGACGTGCAAGTATCTGTTTGAGTACCTGCTTTCAGTTCTCTTGGGTGTATACCTAGGAGTGTAATTGCTGGGTCAAATGTAATTCTATGTTTATTTTTTGGAACAAGCGTTCATCTGGTTTCCAAGAGCTGACATCTTAATAATAAGCCAGAAAACAATGGAATACCATTTTCAAAGTGTTGATAGAAGATTACTACCAAATTAGAGTTATATATCCAATGAAAACATCCTTTCAAAATGACATTTTCATACAAACAATTCATTATCAGACTTGAATTAAAGGAAATACTAAAAAGAGTTCCTTAGATATATGTAAAACAATTTCAGAAGGTTGAAGATGCAGGAAGGAAAGAAAGACAAAGTGGCAAATACGGGGGAAAGGAATATAAAAGAATACTGACAGTATAAAGCAATAATAATAATGTCTTGGGTGAAACATAGAGACAATTAAAATACCTGCAAGAATGGCATATAAGTCAGGTGTTAAGTGAGTTTTCTAAAACTTTGCCTTGTCTGTGAAGAGGGTGAATCCCTTAAATAACAGTAGATTTTGATAAGTCAATTATACGAGTTTGAATCATTAGGAAAGTTGTTTAAAAAATAGTAAAAGTATATAACCTTCAGGATAATATAGAGGGCAAAATGAAATAAAAAACCCAAATGACGACTGAAAGGAGATACAAGATAAATAGAAAGCACTACATAAGGTGGTTTTAAATAAAAAATATATCATTAACTGCATTAAATGTAAAAGAGCTAAGTACTTCATTAAAAGATAAACTAAATGTTGTACTGTTTACAAGCATGATATTTAAAAATGTGAGGATGCAAAAAAACTAAAACAATATATGCAAACACTGACCAAAAG